TAATGTAACATGTATATCGGAAAAATGGTTCCTAGAAAATAAATACCACATAGGTCATTTTGAAGAATTGCCAATTACAAATACACATATTAAAACGGCTACGGGAGATCGATCTAAGCGCATAACTAAAATCATAATGTTACCTGTAATTATAGAAAATGAAGAAACTCAACTACAAGTTTTACTCATACCAAACTTAGTTAGGAATTTAATAATTGGGAATGATGTATTAAATAAATGGCAGTTTGAAATGAATTTTAAAGAAAAAGTTATTAAATTGAAGATTAATAATAATAATATTACTTTGAAGTTCGGAGAGGTATCTGTTGAAGGTATAAATTGTAATTTTGTATTTGAGCAAAGCCCAAGGCGAAGCATTGAGAATGAAAATAATGATGATAAATATTATGAAGATAATTATAATAGTGTTAATAATGATATGCAAACAAACTATTACGATCCTAACATAAATATGAGTAAAAATACAGAAAGTCGACAAAGGCGCATTCAAGATCAGTACAATTTCAGGACATTCAACTTATTATGTAAACACTCTAGATGACAAGAAGACATTTGGGCCATACCACATTTCAGCACTAAAAATATATAATCCTCCTCAACCGAAGATACAAGTTTAATAATCAAAAGTATATGTATGAAGAATAATAGTATATTTAAAGAAAATTTTAAATTGAAGAAAATTAAATGAAAAGTGTGTGTAGAGAGACCTTAAACCCATGTAAATAGTTAAATGTAAATAAAATAGACACTCCACAAAGTGAATTAAATACCAGAAGAAATATGTAAATTGAACACATTAACACTATTTGTGCTGTCGACATGTTTGAACATAAAAGTTGCATTTATTTCAATGTTAAGCAATTGCGGGAATTCCCGTCATCAGCACCCAACGTGTTAAATAGACGCCTGCAGTGTAATGAAATATTAACTTAAATAAGAAAAGTCTGAAATGAGAAAAGATGTTAAGGAACAATAACTCATATGAACTATAATAATAGTGATGAGAAATTCATATTCCCCATTGTCCCCAATATATAAACAATAGTACTTTCTTTTCCTTTTCCTTTCTCCTATCTTTAATAATATTAATTGTTATAATTTTGTTGTTATATTGTTCATGATTCAATAATTGTGTTGATTAAGTATTTGTATTTCAATAACTATGTTCCATCCATCGTTCTTTTTTTTTGTATTTAAGTCTCCTTTTATTAAATGTTAATGTTCACATTTCAAACCAAAATTTATTTCACTCTGTATCAAAACCTCATATTACATGTAATATTCAGTTTCTGCGGGGATATTGCAACAGTTCATAAATTTTTGTATATTTAAATAATATTTAAATAGCCTATTACCAGTCAATTAAGCCTAACAGCCTATTTTAAATATAGCCTATTATGTTTACAAACACAAGCTAAAGTGAAAATAAATATATATATAACTAAACAAAATCTCAAAAAGTAATTTACCCAAATTAAATTTCATACAATATTAATTGGCCTATTAATTATCTATAATATTAAAACGAAATAGGGTTTTTTTATTTCACGATTCTGAATCAACCACTCGGCGGATTTTCATGATTTTTGTGTTGAAAGAAAGATAATTTTGAGAACTAGGGAATGTCGAAGCCATAATTTTAGTTTAGAGTCCCAGTTATTTACAAATTAAGCTTTAATTTTTGAAAAGTCTAGCAGCCGACGCTTAGAATTTAAACTAGCTTTTGGTATAATATAATTTGCTTAACATAACAGCTGTAAACATCCAGCGTTTATAACACAAATTCAGCATTTGGATAAAATTAAAAGACATACTAAGGGTTGACTTATTTATACTATGTGTAATGCTAATCATTGATACGTTCAATCCTTCGATAAGAGGATGACAGATTAATTAAATATACATAGTAAAATACTAGGATCTTCAAATTATTATTTTAAGTAATCTTTGGTTTATTTTAGCGCAATGTAATTTGTTTTAACTAACAGCTGGTTAAATATAAAAATGCTCTATAGAACTATGAGGTTATTTTATTTACTCAGATTTTGTCATTGATTATAGGAAATAAGTAAGATTAGTAGACCACCGAGATAAGTAACACCATCGAAGTATACAAGTCGAGGCTCTGTACACGAGTCTTAAAAAATGATATGCCAATTATTTTACTGCTCAACTTTTTTAGGAAAGGGTAGAAAAATCACAATTTTTACATGTTTTAATTCATCTTGGTGGCTTTTTGTTTACAATCAATGTTTTTGAATGCTTAAACTTTGTTTGGATTAGGCCCGGGAATATTGATGTCATAAAGAAGGAGATCAAGAATCATCAGGAATACGATTTTAAATTACCACCACAACCTCTGACGGGTTTTATCCAAAGATATGCAGATGAATGACATAGATTGAACATAACGTCATCATTGACCTAGGATACTGCAATTATTAGACTTACCATCCTTTTATGAAATCTAAAAAGTTGTTTGGCGTGTGTTTAGTTGTGGTTACGTTTGGAGGCGCTGAATATTTTATAGTTTAAATAAATGAATATGGGGAATTATGATGTACATTGATTCAATGAGGGTGGTTTAATTATCAGAATATTAGAACTGACAACGGAATGGATAATAAACATAGACAATTAATTACGTCACTAGCTTTACTTGCGTGTTTACGTTTTTAATTCCTTCAATATGTGACCAGTTCTTTTTTTCAAATGAATATTATTTTATTTTCGTTTCAGCTGTTTACAATACAAACTATACGTTGTTGTTTTTACTTTTCTTTGTTTACACTTATTTATTTAGCAATTGATGCAGTGAAATTGATATAAAGGATATGTGTGGATGATTCGTTTAATGATGTTAGGACACCAACTTTATAATTATGTGTACTGTGAATTTTATTGGATGTTTTCGTTTTATTTTAGGGAGTTTCTATTCAGACCTACTGGAAACGGTGTATAGTATGAGTAATTGATTATGGAAGAGGCAGGCATGCGATGGAATTGGAAGGTGATATCGCTGACTAGGCCTATACACTTCTCAATTGATAAATACTCTTTCTACTGTAGGCTGTTATAAAATTTGTCTTTATACGTGTAAGCTAGCTGTTCTGAATTATACACAGTTTTAACTGTCTATTCCCGTACGTAGGACGGGCTAACACCTCGTTAATTATTAATATTAATTAAGGTGAGTGAGTGTAGCGAACGAACTTCAACCAGGACATGATTGAGCCATGCGAACGAGATCATCTTGAAAATTAAGAAGTTAAACGGGGCAAAGCCCGCGGGTTACAGCTAGTAATATATAAAATCCAATGTATGTTTGTTTGTATGTATGTATGTTTGTTTGTTTGTTTGTCCTTTATGGACTCCGAAACCGCTTGACAGATTGTAATGAAACTTTCAGGCATTATTAAGCATTATTCAAGGATGGTTTGTGTGAAGTTTGGTGCAGATCCGTCAAAAGGGCTCCGCCCCAGTGGCTTTGGAGTTTCCCATGTTAACCTTATGAGTACTCATATTTAAATGGAATTAAAGAATCTTAACAGCTGGTTCAACTGAACAATTTGATTCTGTGATGTTCAATAGCATTAAAAAGTTAATAGGCTTACCAACAGGGTGTAGCACTATTATTTTTTTTAATTTATGACAACAGCTTATTTGCAACCAAAAGGTGAGTGAGCGTAGCGAACGAACTTCGACCTGGATGCTTGTTAGCGTAGCGAATGAGCTAACCTGAAGGCAAGTGAGCTCAGCGAACGAGCTCCGCAGCGAACGAGCTCCAACCTAAAGGTGAGTGAGCGTAGGGAACAAACTTCAACCAGGACGTGATTGAGCCATGCGAACGAGCTCATCTTGAAAATGAACGAGCATTTGGCATGAAACCACATTAGGACAGGACGACGTCTGTCGGGCCAGCTAGTATTTTATAAAAATGGAGTAGCTGAATTTACTTGTATACTACTTTTAGTTTAGTAATAATAGCCTAATAATGAACCCCACTGTGGAGTTGAAGGCCTTGTACCAACTTAATTATCTTAATATAAATCAATATTGCAATGTCGCAGAGTCACTCTGTCTGTCTGTACACACAAGTAGATGCCGTGATCTATTTTTATTTCGCATGACTGGCCGACGGCGAACCTTAGGATCCAAATGTGCAAAATCCAGGCAAATGTCATTTAATGTTTAGGATCTTATATCTAAATGTGATAACGTGTTTTTTTTTTATTCTATATATTCTATTGTGAGTAGGTTTGGTTTGAGGTTTTGCATACCATTGCATAATTTCAATTTGCACTGTATTAATTAATAACATATAGTACTTTTGATAGGTTTTAATATTTTCTTACTCTTACATTATTTGTATGGATTTGATTATCATCAATAAAAATTTTCATAAAAAAACTTTAGTAATTTAATCCCTGATTCCTGACTAGTATTTTTGTAAGGTAATTCAATCCGTTTGGGTGTCTGTTGATTAGCATTAAAACACAGATAGCGATGCAACCCGCCATGCAAATTTGTATAACAAGCATCACTCATTGTGTAATAAAATCTAAGTTCTTACCGTCAACGCAATCAGGAGTAATATTCCACTACGGCCGTTTCGGAGATGACTCCATCGTCAGGTGCGTAGTGGTACACTAAACTATAGTCTTGTCACATTTAACACAAGTTTTCTTCATTTGCATTGCGTCAGGGGGTGAATAAATAATACACATATATTTACAGGACGGACACACGAAAACACGAATACACGAAAACATTTAGAGCACGTGCACGGCTTGAAAACTGACGACCGACTCAATGTTAAGGCAATCTGCCACACTCAAGAATACTCATTGTGTGTTTGGAGGGGGGGGGGGGGGCTGACATCATCCCGGACGCCAAGAAACCACGTGACAGCCCTGAACTCTACTGTTCATTAATATCTAAAGAGTATGATGAAACTATTAAAATGTGTTTGCCAACAGAGCCAAGAAAGGAACTTGTCTACCCAGAGTGAAGCTAGTAGAGCAGGTTGTTGAGGTGGTGGCTGGCAGTTATCAACATGTGTTCCACAATGACAGCAACACAACTGCGAGTTTCTCCCAAGGTGAATACATGATAGTCAGTTCTGCCAGTAGACCTGCCGTAGCCGCTGGTCCTATAACTCACCTCTCACAGTCCCGGCTCACTCTCATGCTGGAAAGGTAATCTAAAGTTGATGCAAAAGATAAAGCTGTATTTTATGAACAAGTCTGCCAACAAAGGGTCCAAGTATTAACCCTTTGCGGTCGAATGGCGAGTATAGGTCGCCAGGCGCAATTTATCCGACTGCTGAAATGACAAACTATACTCACCGAAAAATGGGGGGAAAATTCTACCTCAAAAGGCGGGGACACACTTGTCATACACCCTTCCGATCCTACTACAATCCGATTTGCGGGATTCCAGAGAGATCGGAGGGGGTGAGCACACATGTCATACACGCTTCCGACCCATCTCTGATTTCCTCCACCGGGTCGATCAACACTCACCAGTCTGATTTGTAAACGTAAACTACGTGCAGAAGGTGATAAATATGTTCAAAAACTTTGGACTTCAGGATTTAGCCATGATGGCGGTTTGTCTAGATGAAGAGGAAGAAAGTCAGACATCTCTAGAGTGCAGTGGAAAACGGAGAATTTGGGTCCATTCTGCATGGAAGCAAAGCAGTTAGGTTTAGTTAGGTTCAAAGTGCCCATCTTTATATATTAAACACATTGGTTTTTCTCTCAAGAGTTCGTTTGGCTCTTCTACCCATCCGATTTTCATGATCGAGGTCTCTAATTGAAGGTATGCACGCACAGATTTCACATCAAGTGTCGGATTATATTTATCTTAAACCATTATTCTTAAACCTTAACCTTAAGAATAAAGGTGAATTTTAAGAAACAACCCGTCCTGCACCCGACAAACGAATAGACTGCAGTGTCGGTGCAAGATGGGAGTCAAAATTGTTGACTTAAGTAAAAGTAAATTACTAACACCTAAGGTTTTACTGTTACAATAATTATCTTTTATTTTACTGAAGTACACACACACAACATTTTTACTCAAACATAACTTATTCAACAATTCTCATTACAGTAGACCCCCTCTTAACCGACCTCGTATTAACCGATACTCGGATTATCCGCCTTCGATCGTAAAATAATGCAGTTTGTTTTAACCGACCTTGTTTTGAGAGCAGCTCGGTTTAACCGCCGCTTTCTAGGAATCTCGGCATTTCCGCTCCCACGCTGGGCGATGAGAACTGAACCATACGCTTATCTCCACAGGATATGACTAACAATAAGTTATTTTGTGTTTATCACAATAAATATAGCATAGCCTATTGTCAGTTTGTCATCATCGTTCGTAGCTATATCTGTATTCGAGCACATCTGATCTGATTTGTTAAACTTATCTGCGCGGCAAATTTATAACATCATAAAGTGCGTCACGATTTTGAGAACTGATTATCTTATCGCCGGAGTAAACAAACAACGCAACTTGTAGGGATGGGAAAGTTATTAAAATAGGAATTTTATTGACTCTTGCCTAGTATTATAATATATTCCACTGAAAGTAGGCCTATTTGACTTAACCGTGTTTTGTGTCTATTTGTGACTTTTCTACCAATATGAAAAAGGAGATAAGAGTAGTTTATTTTATAAATAATGCTAGTATGACTTCAAAATAATGATTATATAATTCCAAATGAATAGCACTTCATCATGTTATGATTTTAGGGATTGCCCGTTTTATCCGACCTTTTGCGTTATCCGACCTAGGTCCGGTCCCATTAGGGTCGGTTAAGAGGGGGTCTACTGTACAATAAAAACAATCCTAACTATTTACACATGATCAGCTGTTACCAACATAAATTAAATTAAATACAGGACAAGTAACAGCAAACATATTATATAAAAATAAAATTACATTCAACACCTTCCCTTAATTTTAATTTTATATAAGAAACAAAAAATAAATATCTCGATTATCGTCTTCTGTTCAAGATTTTGGATAGTTGATCAAAGCTTTGCTAAATTGATGAAACTTGACATTGTTCAAGGGTTTTGTAAACATATCCGCAACATTCTCGGATGTAGAAACAAAAGAAATGTTTATTTTACCTTGCCTTACATTTTCAGTCAAAAAATGGTAGCGAACATCAATGTGTTTGCTTCGCTTATAAAAAATTCCATTTTTACAAAGCTTAATAGCACTTTGATTGTCCATGTTTAGGTTTGTTTCAACATTAGTTCCACTCAACTCTTGCAAGAAAGTTTTTAAATATAACACTTCTTTGACACATTCCGCCGCTGCAATGTATTCTGCTTCAGTGCTGGACAAAGCTACAATCGGTTGTCTTCTTGTACACCAGCTTATTGGGTCTTCTCCATACATTATGACAAATCCAGTAGTACTTCTTCTTGTATGCTTGCAATTTGCATAGTCTGCGTCACAATATACATTTAGGCAATTTTCTCCTGATGCTGAAAATAATATTCCTGCGTCTTGAGTACCTTTAATATATCTTAAGGTTTGTTTGACATTTACAACATCTTCATTGCTTGGATTCTCAACACATCTACTTTCTAATCCCACAGCAAGTGTAAGATCAGGTCTGGTTTTATTGGATAAGTACAGCAAACTTCCTACAACTTCTCTGTAAGGATAATCTTTTGTCAGGCAGCTTACTTCTTCATCAGGTTTGCTCGTTTTCACTGGACAAATGGGAGTGTCTACAGGTTTACAATCTATCATTCCATATTTTTCGAGAATACTGTTTGAATAGTTCTTTTGTGTTAACAATATCCCTTCCCTTGAATATAAAATTTCCATTCCAAGAAAGTTTGATGGGTTTTCGTCTGTTTTTATTTTAAAATCTCTAGACAGCTCGTTCAAAAGTTTCTTCATCTCTTTTTCATCTGAACCAGCAAGAATTCCATCATCAACAAATATAGCAAGATGAATACTGCCATTTGTAAAAACACAACGGTCAGACTGAGTTTGTTTTAAGCCATATTTTAGCAAGCAGTTTGTAAACAACTGGTTCCATTTAAATGGAGCTTGTTTAAGTCCATATAAAGTCTTTCTTAATTTCAAAACTTTATCTTTATGATCAAACCCTTCAGGTACACACATATAAATTTCTTCATCTAAATTTCCATAGAGAAAAGCAGTTTTAACATCAAATTGAATTAGTTTGAGATTTTGTTTGGCAGCTAATGAAAATAACAAACGTAAAGTTGAATTACTTACAACTGGGCTGTAGGTTTCTTCATAGTCTATACCTTGTTCTTGGGCAAAACCTCTAACAACTAGTCTCGCTTTGTATTTTCCGTTATCCTTTCTTGTTAATACCCACTTGTTACTTAGGATCTTCTTGTTTAGTGCTTGCTTTTTGTCAACCACTTCCCACGTTTCATTCTCAATAAGGGAGCTTTTCTCATCCTCAATTGCTTGTAGCCAATTTTTTTTATCTGGTCCTTTGATTGCTTCTTCATATGTTAACAACACAAACTCTTTATATCTTTCAGGTAGTTTAGTTTTTCTTCTTAGTTTGATGCTTTGTGTAGTATCAGTATTACTTAAACTTGGCTGTTCTTCATTGATTTCATTTTTGTCTGAAACCAACTCAAACTCTACTTCATTATTACTTATCTCACTTAGATTATCTGCACTCTCAATATCTTCATTTTCATTTTCGTCTTCTTTCTGGTCATTTTCATTTTTGTCTTCTTTCTTATCATTTTCATTTTTGTCTCCTTTCTGGTCATTCTCTGTTGTATTTTCAGAGAAAGTAACCTCACCACCATTATTAGTTATTGCAGAAACAGACAACAAGTTTTCACTGAGTTCAGGAACATATAGCACATTATTCAGGATACATTTTTTGGATTTTACAGTTCCACTCGTTGAAGCTAACATGGTTTGATTTTTCTTAGCAACATATATTTCAGAAGAAATATTTTGTTTATTACTTAACAAATCTGCACAATTTTTTATATGTGAAGATGTGCCTGAATCAACAACCCATTCAGATACAAAGTTTACAGTCCCACTATTACCCCGAACATTTTGTCCATCATCATACGACAAAAATGACACAGTTTTACTAGCGACATTTAGGTTCTGGCTTTTTCTAAAGTAACAATTTTTTTCATTATGATTTGACTTTTTACATATATTACAAAATAAATTTGGCTTTACATTTCTTTTTTCAAACTTGTTAACAAATTTTTTTACATTTCCACAGGTCTGGTGCTAGATGACCAACAGCATTGCATTTAAAACATCGCCTTTCATTATCAGAGTTAGCCCTATTGTATGTAGGCTTCTTGCAGTACTTTGCTTTATGGCCTGGAATTTTACAGTTGTGACAAACAACTTGGAATGCAAGATTTTTCTCTAGGCTTACCTCCTTTAACTCACTTCTTGACTCTTCTGCTAACAGTCTCGCTGTTAGATTTGCCAATGTCTTTTCTTCATTGGGCATTGATTCCCAGGCAGTTACAAAATACTTAAATCTATCTGGCAGACTGACAAGAATTTTTGATATTAACATTTTTTCATCAATAAAGTTTTAAAGTTAAAGTTTTAAAGTTAAAGTTTAAAGTTTTAAAGTTTTTAGTCTGTGTGCTATGTTTTCAATTCTACTTATGTGAGAACTTATATCAGAATTAGGCTCATACCTGAGGTTAAAGAATTCTTGTAATAACGAGTACTTCTGCTGCTCTGAGTCTCTTTCATAAATATTACACAGCTTCAAAAACATTTCTCTTGAGTTTTCACAGTTAATGATATGTAACATCGGTCCCTTCTCAATAGAACTAACTATACACTTCTGAGCCTTGGCATCTCTTTTAATCCAATCAGCCTTCTTCTTTCCATCACCCATATCTTCAAGTTTCTCAGAACCATCAACAATACTCATCAAATCACTGGATTGAAATATTATTTTAATCTGAAATTTCCACAATGGAAAAGTTTCAACTCCTTTGAGTTTTTCTACAAAATCATCTTCTTTTACTGATGCCATTGTTAGTCTTACTTTTACTATTTCACTCACCTTCACTACACTTTAACTCTTGGGGTTTTACTAGATTACTTCTGGTTTTTACAGTTATGGTTGAATTAATGAATTTTTCTGGGCCCCATAACCTGTTGACTTAAGTGAAAG